TGTAATTCTCTCTGTCTCTGGGTCATTTTTAATGAATTTTTTATTTTGTCTGTTGGTCCAAAAATATGGTCGTAATGAGTGTTTACGGGTTAGCCATAATTTTGTCTGTTTCTTTATCTTTTGATATTTGTTTTTCATAATTTCTTATCATATAATCTTCCACGAATCACGATCATCCTTCATTTAAACTATCTTCATTCTTAATTCTTGTGAGACTTTTATTTACCTACAAGAACTTAAAACACGTGAAAGCAAAACGATACTAGAATAAAAATTTGTGGGACTATTACGACTGGAATGCTCATAGGTCATCAAAGGAAAACAGAAAAATTGAAAAGTCAATATGATATTGGGATTATTACAACCGTAATGGAAATTACGGGTTGGCCGCAAAAATCCCAATTGACCATAATTTTGATTACGCTTGGGACGTAATATCCTCTGATGTCCAAAATCTTGATCTTCAGTTAGGAAAGAAATTATGATCGTAATGAGTATTACAAATTGACCGTTATTTTCTATGATGTTTGCTTTTTTTTTGGTTTTACAACCCCGATCATTGGTCATAAGCTTTGCTCTTTGGAAATTCCTAAAACATAGATAAAGTTGAATATGGGAGTAAAAGCGAACAAAATGGATTAAAAACTTAATAAAAACAATAAAAACACACTACTAAGGATAAGGATGGCTAAAAAACATCATTAATCATCTTCCATTTCGTTTGTTTGATGACTTTAGAGATAGTTTCAACATTCGTAAATTTCCCGTTTCGATTACCGAGAGTGTATTAGATATAAAATATTTTTAGTCAACTTCAATCTTTAGTAAAAAAATTATATCTTTAATTATATCTATAACATATATAAAAGCAAAACATGGTGTTTTGGTGTAGCCTATTTTTCTACCAATTTTATCCCTACTTTAATTTGTTATTTACACAATAACTTCCAATTTAACCACTACTATAATATTTCATATAACTTATTATTAACTTCCTAACTAACTTTCTACTATTAACTTCCTACATAACTTCTATTTAAAATTAATATTAAATAAAAAAATATCATTTAAATTTTTACGTGTATATTAAAAAAGCGGACCGACGGACACTTGGACGCTAGTGATTATATAAATAGAATAGTCTTTAATAATTCTTTTATTTAAATTAAATAAACTTTGACTATGTAGAATGGTTTCTTTCAGTGTTTTAAAAACCGGACCAGATCGGCCGGTCGGACCGGTTGGACCGGGAACCGGTCTAGTAACCGATCTGGTTTACTAGTTCGATCGTCTGTGTCATCAAACCGGGAAAAACCAGGTTAGACCGGAAAAAACCGAATTTAAGGTTGGACCGGTTCTAATGCATTTTTTATTTTTTAATTAAAATTTAAATGCAAAAGTTATAAAAATTAAAAAAAATTGTTTAAAATTAGATTATGCTGCAATTATTTTGTAATTTTGTATTATTTGTTATGTGTGATACATTTGTTTAAAATTTAAATTTAAATTATGAACTTGTGAATTTATGATATAATATTTTCAAAAAATTTAAGTACTAGTTATATTTTTTTAGAAACTGAATCATCCGGTTCGACCGGTTTTATATCTATATAATGACAGGTCTATTCAACCGAGTTATCCGGTTTAATCCGGTTTAGTCATACGGTTCGACCAGTGACCCAGTGGTTCAACCGATAAACCAGTGACCCAGTACCCTCACCGGTTCGATGACCGGTCCGGTTTTTAAAACACTGGTTTCTTTCACACATGTTAAAAATATATTTTTCTTTATATTTCTTTCACACATATTTTTGCCATGATTTGATACAATTTTAGTAAAAATGAAGCCTAGTTTAATAAATGATCAAATATAACAACTAAATTGATAAATGCATTTCTTGTATTTATGAATGTTAAATGCATAAAGGTTTAACAAATTAAAAGTTAATTAAAATAATCTATCAACATATTTGAGTTTCTAACTACACTATTTTTCCAACATAACTTCCAAATATAATTTAACATTCAAAATATGACAACAATTGTATCCAATATAACATCAAAAATATGAATGACAATTGCATCCACCAAAACATCTAAAATCCAAAGATGAATCATAAGTTAAAGGCATAAACATACCACATACATCCAAAATAACATTCAAAATATTGAGATCATTCATAATTTAAAGGCATAATATGTTGTTTACATCCATAAGATATAACATGTGAGTAACATCCAATGCAATAACAATGTTATTTAGAGATGCCATCAAGGTTGTTTTGAAGAAATGAGGGGCACACAACTAAAAGTTTGGTGTTGGAGGACGCATTTTAGATATGGGCATAAATTTACATCAAATTAGTCTATGTATTTCACTATTTTCTCTCAAATTAATTTGTATATCTACTCAAGTTCTAAAAAACAAAACCATACATGTATGAACAACACCTAAAATATGTTCATCAATTTAATCTTGTATTTGACCACTTACCAGCCAATTAGTTTATATATTTACACAAATTCTATCAAATAAATTCATACACGTATGAACAACAAGAAAAACACATTCATCAATTTAACTCATGTGTTTGACCACTAAATGTCAAATCGGTCTCTATCTTTATCCAATTTATAGCAAATAAGTTTATACTTATATAAACAATAATAAAATTTAAATTTAGAGATTTAGGATTCTTGTTGTATTAAAATATTAATGCATTTAAGATTCAATATTAGTGACGAATATAAAAAAATATGAAAGTAAAATAGAGAAGGGTTAAATATATGTTTAGTGTCTATAAATGTAGTAAAATTTAGTTTTAATTCTTAGAATATTTTTGTTCAAAGAATGATCCCTTCATAATTTTTCATCCATACAATTGATCTGTGACGTTAAATGCCACTAACGAATGATGATGTGACATGTCACATGAAATTTTTTTTTATGATTGTGCGTACACGTGATAGTGTCAGTGTGGCAAAATATGATAATGTGGATGTCACATGGCAATTTTTTCCATTTTTTATTTTTTTTATATAAATTAAAATTATAGTGACAAAAATTCCAATGTTAATCCGTCGCTAAGATGAACATCATAAATAAACCTAGAATTTGTAGGTAATCTGTAGCTAATTCCTAACTAATTCCTACCAAAAAATCTTCCATTGAAACTTTTGTTAGTTGATGGGATCCACTATACTCATAAGTTCTGTGGGTATTCTTAAATACCCCAAAAAGTCGAAGGAAAATATTGCAATGGTAAAGAAAAATATTGGTCTTCAATACTCTTGAGAGAGTTCATGGATTCTCACCCAAACTTAGGTCGTTTGTCTCAAAGAGCATGAGTTTAAATCCTTAGACCATTTGAACAATTTCAAAAACCTAGGACTTAAATTCCAAGAATTCATTGCCCTAATCTTATGACGTCTTCAATGGATTAAAAAAATTAAAAATATCCTTTACTTAGAGATGTTAAACCACGTCTTCTTATTAATTTCCATATTGTCGTTAACTTGTTTCGCAAACTAAGAACGCTTAAGGGATGTTTACCTTTAAGCTAGATGATCCTCTCATGGAGATTGAGTTTGCAAGCTTCTACGCCCTTTTCGTATTCGTCTTCTGGTATCACAATCATGATCCTATCTCCCTTGATATGAGGTATGTGAAGCTAACTAATGAGTGTATTAGTGACGTTGTTTAACACCTCAACGAAAGATTTTTGCTACTTTAAAATGTTCTCTTTAGTTGTCGGTGTCTTAGGTTGAGATGTTACGATTACTTGCAAATTGTCGTCCAAAAGTGACCATGACACAATCAAAATCTGCATTAGACAATATAACAAGCCATTAATTTATTAGGTCAACAATGTCACAGCCATCCTTAATCGTCATTATTCGTTTTAATCTATTCAACTGATTCTTTATTGATCACAAGAATCGTGTTTAAGGACACTTAATAAAAATTTAAAAAATAGAAAAATATTTATTTAAAAAAAAATGGACACAAAATTTCCAAAATAGTAGTATTTCTATATTTGACTATTAGTAATATTTTTATTTTTCATTGTACTATTGAATTATTTTAGCGGCTACTTTTTATCATGCTCTTTTGTTTTTCTTAATTCTTTTGTCTGGTTGGAGGCTGTCCAGTAAAATACATAACACACTTTTGTTTTTTTCTTGTTATCCTCTCTCTCTCTCTCTCATCTTTCTTCTTACTTACACTCTCATTCCAAAATTCTCTCTCTATTCTTTTCTTTCCTCTGCATCACTTCAACTTCCGTTCCGTGTTTTTAACAACAACCAAAAAACGCACACACAAAACACGTAACTGTTTTCACTTCATTTTAGTAAACTGGTAAGTTTTTTTTTTTTTTTTGTCATTTATCTCGTGCACGCACGTTACATAGTTTTCACAGAACGTGTTTCTTTTTTGGTCAACCATTTTTTCTGTCAATGTTTTGATCTGTCTTCTTATGTTCCTTCTAACTATGTTTTGTGTCTGTATCTGCCTCCTTAATTCAAAGTATGTTCTTTTTTTTTTTTATAATTTAAAAAAATTCTCTTATTCCCTTTTTCAGTTGCTGAGAATTAAAGCTGAGTAGAATTAAAGAAAAGTGAAAGAAAAAAAAAAGAATTTTTTTAATTTTCAATTGTGATTTCATTAATGGGTTGAACTTTTTTTCTTCTCATCATTCTGATCTTGATTTTTCTTCTTCTATACTCTTTATACATTTCATCTTTGGATTTGGATTTTCTGGATCTTTCTTTGTAATTGTGTTCTTTACTTCTTTTGTTGGATTTGACTTTTAGGTTGGTGATGTCATTCTACAAGTTTGATTTTTTCAAGCTCAAGTCTTGTAATTGTAAACTCTTGAATGAGTTTGAAATTGACTTGTTCAAATTCAATGTCTTTTTTTTAACTTTGAATTGTTTTAGTTTTTGGCAGGTATGTAAATGGATTGGATGATGAACAAAGAATAGAAAAAGAAGGAGAGATGAAAGAGGAATCTACAGGGTTAATTATTGGGATTTCCATAGGTGTTGTAATTGGAGTTGTTTTGGCTATTTCTGCATTGATCTGTTTTAGATATCATAGGAAGCGATCACAGATAGGGAATAGTAGTTCTCGGAGGGCCGCTACGATACCGATTCGCGCTAATGGTGCTGATTCTTGTACTATTTTATCAGATTCAACCTTAGCTCCTGAATCTCCTGTAAGGTCTGGTAGAAATGGCATGAACTTTTGGATTGATGGTTTCAAGAAGAGTAACATGATTTCTGCATCCGGAGTACTCGAATATTCGTACAAGTATGGTTTTTTTGTGTCCATTTACTTGCCTTGAAACTGAATTATAATTAGCTATCCTCTAGATCGGAGCCTCGTGCGCAAACTGATATTCAACCAAAACCGATATGTGTGCTTATGATAATTTGCAAATTATGGTGGCGACTATTACTTCTCGTTTGGTTTTAACTTTGATATTTACATTTCAGGGACTTGCAAAAGGCGACGTATAATTTCACAACACTGATAGGACAAGGTGCATTTGGTCTTGTGTATAAAGCTCAAATGTCTACCGGTGAGACCGTTGCGGTGAAAGTTCTTGCAACCAATTCTAAACAAGGGGAGAAAGAATTTCAGACTGAGGTAAAGATGTTAACCGATAATCATTTAGGGTAATGCTTTTCTAGACTAGAGTGGTTTGATGAAATTTAACTTTTTGTTAGGTTATGTTGTTGGGAAGGTTACACCACAGAAACTTGGTGAATTTGGTTGGATATTGTGCAGAAAAGGGTCAACATATGCTTGTTTATGTCTACATGAGTAAAGGCAACTTGGCTTCCCACTTGTACAGTAAGTTAGTTATCGATCTTTTTTGGTTCGCAAACTCTGCGGGCGGAACTAACGGCTAAGATATGAAATAGTACTTCGATATTATGCGTCTTTCAATTTGGTGCTTTGTTTTTTTGGTTCCTTTTTTGGGATGTCTTTCAAATTCAACTCGCGTGAGCGATGATAAATGAAGGATGTAAGCTTGTCTTTGTATTTAGGTGAAGAGAATGGGAATCTAGGATGGGATTTGAGGGTTCATATAGCTTTAGATGTAGCAAGAGGCTTGGAGTATCTTCATGACGGGGTAAGTTACGCTGTGATATGCTCGCTAAGATAATCCTGCTTTGTATATTTTAGTTACAATGGTATTTGTTATTGTCATTCCAGGCCGTTCCTCCTGTCATTCATCGCGACATCAAATCTAACAATATTCTATTGGATCAGTCCATGCGAGCCCGGGTATGTCCTTGTTGATCTAAGATAATGCTGAATGACTAAGTTTATGTTTCTTACTTTCATTTAATCATTTAGTGTTGTTTATGATGCTTATTATGCTTTTGTTGATTTTGAATCAAATAGGTTGCTGATTTTGGACTTTCAAGAGAAGAGATGGTGGATAAACATGCAGCTGTTCGCGGTACTTTTGGCTATCTTGATCCGGAGTATATATCTTCAGGGACATTCACAAAGAAAAGTGATGTATACAGTTTCGGAGTGTTGCTTTTTGAACTCATAGCCGGCCGAAATCCTCAGCAGGGTCTTATGGAATATGTTGAACTCGTAAGATCTCTCTCTCCCCTCCTCTTAATCTAACAATCTGTATTTGTTCTTATGAATGCTATTGATGAATGAATAGGCGGCGATGAACACTGAAGGGAAAGTCGGTTGGGAGGAGATAGTTGATTCAAAGCTCGAAGGAAAATGTGATTTCCAAGAGTTAAATGAAGTGGCAGCACTTGCATACAAATGCATTAACCGCGCCCCTAGGAAGCGTCCTTCGATGAGGGACATAGTTCAAGTATTGACTCGGATTCTTAAAGCAAGGCACCAGAGGAATCATCACCACAAGAATTCGCTTTCGGAGACGGCAGATGAAGTTGCAATGGATGTTGATGAGGCGGAAAATAAGGATTCTGTTACTACTGACCACCACAGAAGAGATGAATCTATAGATAGTACAACTGACATGTATGATTTGTGACAATATGTTTTACATTTAGTTCTTTCCTTTTTGGCTTTGCATATGAATATGACCTAGATATTAGGATTTGAGTGATTTAATGATGCCTCACATCATTTTCTGTAGTTTTGTGTAACATTCTTTTTTTTCTTTTCTTTATTGTTTCATTCTCTTGCCTTAGTTCTGTTGTTTTGCAGAACAGAAACTCCAAAATTTGTATATTATTACTTTCATGAATGAAATTGATTGAGTACAAAAATAGTTACCTTTTGTTTCGATCAAACTCAAATTCGAAGTAGTGTGTACCGTTGCCAAGTGTAGTTTAGTCGTATGAGTGGGAGAAGTAGCTCGGTTGGCTTGAAAATATTCGTCATTTTGTTTTGATCATCGTGCATGGAAAGTTACCTACCAACTATACATGGGTCACTTATCACATGTCAACATATGTCTCTTGTTATAGATGTGGTGCAGCTAATGGAACCATCTTACACACTCTTAGAGATTGCCCTAAGGTCATGCAAGTTTGGAATGGTTTCAATTTTTCATCTCACGTTCATTTTTATGTGGATGATATATGTAACTGGATGAAAATTAATGCGGTCGCCAATTATGGTCCTTTGTTTCTCATTTGTTGTTGGATGAATTAGAAATCACATAACGAAGAACTCTTCAAAGACAACTGTTGCTCTTTGACATATTTTTAGTCAAATAACTACTCTTTTATACTCTACCAACAAACTTTTGTGAGTTTGAATAAGATGTCAGTCCTTAGACTTCTTGGTACCTTCCATCAGAGAATGTGATAAAGGTCAATGTGGATTGCAGTTCCATTGGTAATCCAGAACATCAGACTTTGGTGATCTTTTGAGAAACTTTTCTAAAGGTTGGATCACATGTTTTGCAAGAAGTTGTGGTTTTACCTTATTAGAATATAAAATATTCATTGTATCAATTATTAGTATCAATATGCATTGATGTATATTAATTAGCAAGTTATCTTGATAAGTCAACCATGACTCAACATCATTGTATATATTCATCAGTATAATGAAATAATCAAGAGAGAAAATTATATTATGATATCACAAGCCTATTCCTTTTAACAACCCGATTTTTCCCTTCCTCCTCTAAACCTAGTCGCTTTGTCGGCATCTCTCTTTCTCTACCTTCAGCCGCGCCATCGACCTTCATCTTTTACCTCATTGTTTTTGTTCTACTACCTCACCACATCATCCCCATCATGTCTGAATCAAGCTCAACCACTCCTTAATCAAAAATATCAACTGAAGTTACTACAAAAACCACCACTCCCTCCATTCATCATGCCCTTAATGTCACCAATATCACAAACTTCATTAAAGTTATCCTTGATATTGAAAAGAGCCAATACAATATCTGGTTTGAGTTGCTCAAAATTCAAGCTCAAACATATGAGGTTCTTGACCACATTATTCCTCTATCCAAAACCAATGATACCTCTTCCTCCCCATATCTCAAAGAAATTAACTCAGTCCTATGGAAACGCCTTTATGCCATTGTTCTGCAATAGATTTATGCCACCATATTCACTTACCTTCTCCATATTATAATTGAACGTGACTCTACCACAAAACTAGCCTGAGAATGTCTCTTTAACATTTTCTTTGATAACAATAACACTCGCGCTCTATATTTAGAGCAAGAGTTCTCCTGGGTCACCATGGAATAATTCCCATACACCTCCCCATACTGCCAACATGTTAAGTTTCTTTTTGATCAATTATCTAATGGTTCTGCACATGTATTAAACGAATGCATGGTGCTTCAACTTGTTTACGGTCTCTCTAAAGCATATACTACTATTGGCTCTTAAATTTGTCATTCTAAAAGTTTGCCTCTTTTTTACAAGGCTCGGTCTATGGTTGTCATGGAAGAAATGGCACTGGCAAAACGCACACAACACAAATCTAATAACTTTGTGTTTAATGCTTCTCAAGAAAATAGCTCTCTTGCTTATCCTCATACTCGCGCCAATTGTAACAACAGCAGTAACACCGACAGTCGAGGCAAATGCATTGGTTCAGGCAACAACCGTGGTGGACGGAACTGCATTCGTAGTGGTGGTCGAGGCGGACAATCACGCCAACCAACATCTATTGTACTTATCCCTGAGGTCATACTTGCCCCTAAGGTCATTGAATACTCACCTTCAACGCCTTCGCCATCACTAGATCTGATCATGCAACCTGAGCCTGATCTTCCGGTTGCCCTTCGAAAAGCTATACGTCAAACACAAAACCCTTCTCCACATTATATTGATTTATGTTATCATCGTCTTTCTTTTCTACAGTATACTTGTTTGTCTTTTGTTTCTATTCCTAAAACTCCAAGTGAAGCATTATCTCACCCTGAGTGGAGGCAAGAAATGATTGATGAAATGTGTGTTCTTCAAAGTAATGGTACTTGGGAACTGGTTCCTATGCCCCTTGGAAAATCTTGAGTAGGATGCCGTTGGCTTTATATAGTGAAGGTTGGACCAGATGATAAGATCAATTAGTTTAAAGCTCACTTGGTAGCCAAAGGATACACTCATATTTTTAGGTTGGATTATAGTGATACCTTATTGCCTGTAGCCAAGATGGCATTTGTCCGACTTCTTCTAGCCATTGCAGCCATTTGACATTGGCTTCTTCATCATCTTGACATTAAAAATGTCTTTTTACATGGTGATCTTGAAGAGGAAGTATATATAGAGCAATCACATGGGTTTGTTGCTCAGGGGTAGTCATCTAATATGGTTTGTAGGCTACACATTTTTCTTTATGGTCTTAAGAATCTCCGAGAGCTTGGTTTGGAAGATTCAGAGCTATAGTACAATAGCTTGGTATGGTCCATAGTGAAGCTGATCATTCTGTTTTTTTATCGTCACTCAGCCCAAGGGTGCGCCTATCTTACTGTGTATGTAGATGATATCGCCATAACTGGTAGTTATCATCAAGGAATACTCCAGGTGAAACAACATCTCGCGAATCAATTTCAGACAAAAGATCTTGGTAAACTCCGCTACTTCTTGGGAATTTAGGTGGCCCAATCTAAAGATGGTTTAGTGATTTTCCAGTGAAAATATGCTATGGATATTTTGGAAGAAACAAGGTTGTTGAATATTAAACCAGTTGATACTCCTATGGATCCAAGTGTCAAACTTTTACCCAATCGATGGGAGCCTCTATCTGACCCAGGAAAATATAGGAGATTAGTTGGAAAGTTGAATTATCTCACAGTCACTTGTCCGAATATTTCTTTTGCAGTTAGTGTGGTAAATCAGTTCTTAAATTCCCCTTGTCAGGAACACATGGAAGTAGTTATCCGGATTCTGAGATACATCAAATATGCTCTAAGAAAAGGTCTTGTGTATGAAGATAAATGACATACTCAGATATTTGGATACTTCAATGCTGATTAGAACGGATCACACATTGATAGACGATCCACCTTTGGGTATTATGTACTTGTTGAAGGAAACCTTATATCCTGAAAAAGTAAGAAACACAATATAGTTGCAAGATCAAGTGTTAAGGCAGAGTATAGGGCCATGGCAATGGCAACATGTGAACTTATTAGGTTAAAACAGTTGCTCAAGAAACATCAAATTGAAGAAGTAAGACCAATGACACTTGTAATACCCCAAATTTTGCTCTAAGATTAGTCGTTTCATCTTGCATCCCATTTCATTTTTGCACTGCGTTTAAACTAACCACTAACGGGTTGTGCAGTTGTTTAATTGTTGCAAGAAAATATCATGTGGCGCGCTCTTTTAGTTTACAGGGTTTCTAGTGCCATTTTATTTTGAATGAATAAAGTAGCACAATTGGCAAGAGACCGTGTGTAAGGAGTTGTGAGTGTGAAAAGGTCGAGAGTTCGAATCCCATCTTCTTCACTTTTTGTTTTGTTTCTTTTATTTTTATTCTAACTTTTCTATTTTCATAAAAAAAAATAACAAAAATATTTTTTTTTATTATTTAATTATTATTTTCGTATTTTATTTAAATTATTTTTTAAAAAATATTATTTTTCACTTTTTTCCATATTATTCATAAAAACATCCAAAAATCATAAAATTAAAAATATTAGAAAAGATTTTATTCTTTTTATAATATTTTTAATGTATAGTATAAATAAATAGAATTTTAAGTTTATTTTAAATTGTTTGAATTTTATTTAGTTTTAACTAATTATTTAAGTTGGGCTTTAAAGTGGGCATTAGGTTAGAGTTAATCTTAATTTGTTACCTATATAAACATAAATTGTGTTTGAGAAAGGGAGGAAGGAGACAAAAAGAGAAAAACGGCGGTCGTCCTCACGACTTATCAGAAGAGGGAAGATTTTTGAAAAAACCATCATCGTTCATCATCAACGAACTCCACTGTAGAAAAATCCGCTTCAAACTCGTGAAGGTGAGCAAATCTTGTTTCTAACGGATGTTTTCTTTTGATGTTTTTTTTTGCAGGAAAAGAAGAAGGGATCGTGGCCATGCAAAGAAGAAGAAAAAGCCTCAACAGACAACAATGGCAGCGGCGCCGCATGCAACAGTAACCATAACCCAACCCAATTTTTGTTTTTCCTTTTGTTGTTTTAGTAGTACATTTATTTTTAATTGAAAATTATGTTTCTAAAAATAAGTGAAAGTTCTACTTTTATAAAACAAATTAAAAACTTTTTCTTAAAAGCTTTTCTAAAATAAAAACTTTTTTAGATAATAAAATAAAAACCTTTTTTTTAAAACACAAATTAAAACTTTGTTTTTTTTAAGTATAAAACTTTTTTTAAAAAATTGATAAACATTTTTAAAAAAATTAAAGTTAAAACTTTCTTCCTCACAAAATAATAATTAAATTTTGTTTTTTTTTAAATATTAAAATTAGAGTTTTGTTAAAATTTAAAACTAAAATAAATTTTTAAAACTTAAACTAAACATTTTTTAAATTAAGATTAAAATTCTTTTCTTCAAAATTAAAACTAAAATCATTTTTCAAAACTAATAA